GTACATCTCTTCCACTTTAATGCGAGTCAACCGTAAAAACGGTGTTTTCGTTGTGTTTAAGTAAAAACACTTGAGTTTAGAGGCAATCGAGTCATTCAAAAGTCTTTCTCCTCGACATAATTCATATGCATTTGAAGACAAACGAAAAATAGGTTTATCTTTGAGACCAGAAAAAGTGGTATTCGTGTCATTAATGTTAAACTCTTTGATCTCTGATATCAATTCATTTGTCTCGATGTCTGGCTTTATAGCGGCCGACAGTCTCTTATATTTTTTGGCTTCACTTGGTTTTCCACTTTTCAGTTCACAAAACGACAGATAATTAAAAATGTCTGCAATTATCTCATCGCTGGTCATGTCATCCAATCTATCAATCGCTTCTGTCAACCATTGCTTTGCATTCGAGTACTCCTTGTTATCAAAGGATTGTTTTCCTATCAAATAGCAGTCGAAAGCATTTAAAGCGTATTTGGATTGATTTCCATTTGAAGTCACTTCAGCACCGGAACTGGTCTTAGATCTAATGAATCCATTCGCTAATGACTTGATATCCAAATCATAAGTATTGACGAGACTTATCACTCCAAACGCGGCGTCTGTCCACAAATTGTCAATCATTTTCATTAACATCTCTATTATTAACTAAAACTTCTTTCAATACCTTTTAGTTCCTTATTAGTGATAAACTCATGACTACTATACACTGATTGCGAATCAAACGTGACATTCAATGCATTTGTATGGTTAGGGTGACCACCGATTTGTCTGATTTGGACATCACTTAAGCGCTGGTCTTTGGTTCGCAACAAATCGTTCACTTCTTTCCAGTCGATAGCCATTCGTCTGATGAGGAGATATACGTCGAGTGGATGTCCTAAAAGTGAGCTCTCGGTGTCCTCTTTCAGTGCAATTGAGTTCAAACTCATTGCGTTGTCTGTCAGTCGTCTTAAGCGAGAATTGAGGAGTACAGGACATCCGCCGTGTCGTAGCTGTCTATCGAGTTGACCTGATTTGTCCAAATTGTACCAAAATATTGCCGAGTATTTTGTGGGCCATACGGTCACATTGAGGCGCGGGAATACAGTGGCCC